CGACGTTTCATTTTTTCTTAAGAGGGCTTACTCATTGCCAACATATAACACGTATTATTAAAATCTAACTAGTGGTCTATTATCAATGCTGCGTTCTGATTGGTTGAACTACTACTAGGCTATATGTTATAGCCCACAAGTAGCGGAAAGCACCAGCTTTTTGGCGGCAAAAAAGGATTTAAGTCTAGCTTTAATCCTGGACAAAAGTCCTTGAGACAGTAATTCTTGCAGTTCTTCCTCCCCCCGTCCTATACAAAGTTGAAACTGCGAACAAATTCTGGATACACCCGTCCAACATTGTTTGTGGGGTGAGGGGAGGGGTTGGAGCTGTGAGAATTGAAAAACGCCCCAGCAACGCAAAAGTGTCCCAAGACTTTTGCCCATGGCTTAAGTTGTTTTGTCTTGATATTTTTGACCAACTAGTTGGATTTTACTCAGAGCCCTTCGGGCTCGAAGAATGATTGTTAACTACCTTTCTTTCAGGTTTTCTTTTGGAATATGCTAATTGCACTCCTGCCACCAGGTCTGGTGAAGCTTCATCTTCTTCATCATCGCCTTTGGCTTCATCAACCAATGTAATACCTAACAGTTACATAAAATATATTAGATTAACAAACAAGTACCTTATTATAGGAAATTAACGCTCCATGAAATTAAGGAATTGGAAATTAACGCAAATTTAGTGGAAAACGACTTTCAAATAAAGAAAATTAACGCGACAGAGAGGGTAAAATTTCAAAATGAAGGAAATTAACGCGATGCTTGCAAAGAAACAGACTTGTGAAAAAAAAAAGAAACAAAGTATAAAGTATAATCTGAAATGGAAACATTGTTCGTGGTACTTTCCTTAAAGGTACGAAGGGTGTCAAGCGAAGAAATCTGGCCACTTGGAGGATTCTTCACAGTATCACTGTTACTGGTGGATATCCACCCTGCTAATAATATTATACTCCTCTTCCTTAGGTGTCAAGAATGTCACAAGTGAATCCAAAACAATGGAAATTAGAGCCAGAAATTAAAGCTCTAGTTAATGAACGGCGCGGAAATTGGCTTTTCATGAAATCAACGCGAATTTCAAAATTCGCGTTAATTCCTTGAAGCGTTACTATAAAAGTCAGAAAACCGTGAACACATGCAAAATTTCAGGAATGTTGATTGTGTGGTGACCAATCACAATAATGTTCTGGACATGCGAGCAAACCTCAAAACCACAAGATTTATTACCGTTGCTGTTTGCTGTTTAGTTTTCTTCTGCCCTATTGGCTATTTCCTCGCAAAACACACAGGGTCCAGAGGGGATGTGTTTGTCGTTAGAACATCAAAACCCGTCGAAAGCCTCTGAAAAAATGGGTTATTTTGATCGCGTTACAGTTTCGTTACACATTCTATAGACCGCAAACCAAGAGACTGAGGGCTCGCAAGATCGGCTGTTTTTTTAACTCGGCAATTCGTGCCTCGGTCACCCTTCGGGCGACGGCCTTCGGTCAACCTTCCGACGACGTGTCGTGCGCCAGCGAGGATATGGCTTGCGGTTATTGATTTTCAAAATGGCGAACAACAAAGTAGATCTGGCTCAGATAAGAAGCGAAGAAATCGTTTATACAGTAGATTCATAAAGATCCCATTGGGCTAATTAACCGTGCTAAGCGACAGGTATAGACATTTTTCAAGGTGAGACTTTAAATAAGTAATTCATTTATTCACACGAAACTCTTCTAGACCCTGTGCAAAACAATAACATTTCTGGTGTTCACGGTTTTGTGAGTTTCACAGTAATTTCCTGTACAGCAATCTTCATCAGGTAACTCGCAGGATAAAGATAGCATGATATCCAACTTACCCCATTCATTATCCTCATGTTTTACTTCTTCTTCTGCTGGAGTTTCATCTTTTTCTTCCTTTTCTTTTTTGGCCTCTTCTGAATCCTAAACACCAGGAAAATTGGAACATGTTGTCACTTTTTTAATCCAAACTTTTGCCAACATGCTTCTGTACAGGTCCATTTGAACTATTGGACTGGGGAAGGGGGGGGGAGGGAGTTGTCTATAGCGATACTTACGCTCACATCACCCATTAATTTTGATATGCCAACTAAAAGCGTATTGGTTCTTGAAGCAAAAGGTTCTTTTGTTCTTTTGTTTCACTCTCACACGTCGTTGTCTGAGAGAGACCACATCGATCACGACACGTTTTATTATTTTTTTTTTCAAGTTTTTTTGAAGCTGAAACTACAAAAAGCTTAAAATGAACTTAAAAAAGAGGCAATTCAGTCTAATAGCAATTTAATGTACCTGGTATTCTCGCTGCCTCTGATGACAGATCACCTCCTCACATGTAGGATTTGGCTTTAGTGTCATGCTTGGAAAGAAATCTTGCATCGCATTGTACCCCAGATAGTAGGAAACAGAACCAAACTTTAGAAGATATCTGCGAGTCAAAAGGAAAATGAGTCATTTCCACAAGGAACAAACTAGCAGAAAAGGGTGTAACAAGTGCAACAAGGAATATGTTTGACGGTCACTTTCAGAGTAGTTCTCGGTGTTCCGGATGGGTTCAATCGCTAGTTTGATGTATTACTAAAGATTGAAGCTAGACACTACAATACCCACAACACGAAAGCAAAAGCGAACCAGCAATAGCTTCCTTATCACCTAGCCTCCCACCCCACGTTCGTACGGCTTCGTCACGCGTGCGTTCCTTCCTAACGAGGAAGATTGTGTGACAAGCCAAAAGAACGTCTGCTTGGGAAGCTACGTAGGTTTAGTGGCGGTGGTGGCGGACGGGGGGGGGGGCACTACTTTTCTCCAGGAAAGTAGCATTTATTACGCTGAATTCTGTACAAGGTGGATCTAACCTTTTGATTCTGTGGATGGAATCTTAAGTGTGACCATTCAAATGAAAGCTACTGAGCAATACTCTCATGTGGTACTGTTAACTATACTGTACAAGGTGGTTCTTACTTTTGAGTATGAGAATGGTAACATATTAACTGTGACCATTCAAATAAAAGCTACTGAGCAGTACTTTCCCGTTGTACAGGGACATTGCTGTACGTTTTTGTGGTGCAAAAGGGAGTGAGTGCATGAAGGGGAAAACCCCTAAAAGTGTCATTCAGAATGAAGTTATTTAGCATAACTCTTCTGTGACTGTATTCACTCTACCATATGGTATACCTGCCAACTTTTTCTGAGTCAAATGTGTAAGATTTTCACCTTGTCATGACCAGGATTTCCAGAATCGTCCCGGCGACTTCCGAAGATTGGTGCCAACTTTCCGAAGACTTCCGAACGTTGCCGCAAAGTGTCCGCAGATTTTTTAAAGACGTTTGAGCACTTCCGAAGCTCCTTAAAAGACGACAATTTTAGCGCGCTTTGATTTCATTAAAACACAAAAAAAGGACACAAAGTCATCATTGAACGCCTTTTTGGATTGAATTTTCAATGTTTATCATGTGGTAAAGAACAATTTGTCCGGATTTGCGTCAGCCATGAGAAATTGGCCTTGATGCGTGAGATCGATGTCTTTAGTCCACAGACATGAGACTCACGCAGAATGCGTGAGAGTTGGCAGGTATAATGTGGTGGTTCTACCTTTCTCTCATTTTGTGAACATGGTTCATACAGAATTTGTTGGGAAAAAATCAAGGACTTTTAAACGACTTTTAAAGGACTAAAAATCATTTTTTCAAGGACTTCTTTTCCCCAATAACATGAGGTAAAGACCTTTAAAATGCGTAGGTGGAGGGGGGTTCGCTTATTGCAATACCTTCATTCATTAAGGCACGGTTCCAAGGGTACTTCAAATAACGGAAAATGAACTATGCCGGGAATACCGAAATTATAAGAAAACACTTTCATGATCACCAAGGATAATTTGTGTACTGCTGTGCTTTCAATCATTCATTTGCGCAAAACATGTTTTGTTTGTTTGTTTTTTTCTTAACAAAGGTTAGTTTTATTCAAGGAGCTTTCAAGAATATCCAACAATTTCTCAGTTTTCAAGGACTTTCAAGGCCCATGCGAACCATGGTGAAGAAAAGTCGCCTGTAATATTGTTCACTAAGACAGGTTATCCTGAGCACTTACTTCAGAGTATTTTGTACAAGAAATCCTGCCACAATACCCATTGTTGTAGGAAGAGAAGCAGCACAGACTCCTTCCCTTTTAAGTGTTCTCTCATCAATATTTGAAGCTACAACAAGAGGCGGGGCACACTAGAAAAGGAATGAATGAGAAAATGTCAACACACAGTACTGGAACAAAATATTCATATTCTTAGTTAAAAGGTTTTACCATGAAATGCCCCAGTCCAAATTCACTGAATGTTTTTAATTTTTTAGTCCACAAACATCTAATTGCCTGAGCCTGGTACCCAGGGTCTGGGTCGGCTATGAAGGAGTGAAGACGTTGGAAAATCGCTCCTGCAAATTTAATCTTTTAATCTTCTCCCGCTTGCCTCGATACGTTTATATGGATGACATTTTAAGTAGATTTAAGCGTAAGGAGAGGGGAAGCAGCAGTTCGGACAGTGAGACCTCACTGCAAGGAAAAAGAGTTTGTAGCCAAGAACCAAACGAAACGGACGAGATACTCGTCGCCTTGGATATGTCGAAGGACATAGGAGCGAAGCTACAACAAGTTCTAGACAAGCTTGGCAAGATGGACAAAAAAAATTGAAAGTGTTATGGCGAACGTGGCTAGTCTAGAAAAGACGATGACCAACATGTACCACCCAATAATGATCTTATGGTTCAGTTTCATATTTGCTTCAAAATTAATTATCATCACACATACATGTCACCATACCAGGATAAAATTGAAACACAACAATGACAGGCTGATAAGTTGGAATATTGTTTCCAAATGTTGTTAATTACTAAAGGCCAAGTGCTGTACAGTTTTTTTAAGTGTGCATGCTTACATGCTTGGATCACTTACGGTTTCTGGGTGACTGGCCACCTACCCCTTCCCTAAGTTACAATTTTGCCCTAAGTGAGAAGTAAGTGTTAATGTTGACTTAGGGGAGGGGTAGGTGGTCATTCACCCAGAAAGCCACATGTTTTTGCTGAACTGAATAAACAAGAACTCTAACTACTTGGCAAAGCTAGTACAACAGCATTGTTCATTATTTTATCATCACTTATTCATTCAATGAACTTACTGCAAAACAAGCTGTTTTTCCAGGGATGACAAACTGAATGTGACCTGATACAGCATTTTCACTCACTCCAGATTCTATCCAGGGTTGATTTAGTTCATTACATGCCTGAGGAAAAAGCAAATGTACTCAAGGGAAGAGCTGTGTACTCAACATCTGGACCTTGACGTAATTTCTTTTGCTTAATTACCCTAAACCTTGAAGCCAAGGATGAATTTTGAAAAATTTAATACCTCAATATGTCTACTGATCTGATAAGGAACGAAGATAGCGAAATGCTCACTTACTGTATTTATTGCCATTCTTGCTTCAAAATTATCTACACAACTTAAAACAAGGTCCACAGGTTTTTCGTCTTTTCCACCATGGCTGAATAGTACAACAGTAAATTTATCTGTCAGTTAATAAATAAATAATACTACATCTATGGTGTTACTATTCAAACGAAACCTCTCATAAACTAAGGGTACTAACCAAAACTCAGAACTCGCTGGCCAAACATTTTAACTTAATGAAATACTGGCTGGCTTTTTTGGGAGTTTTCACCAAAACCCATCACTGCCGTGCATGTATACATAATGTAGGAATAAACAGTATTTGTTTACTGATCTGGTTGGTCTTGATTAACAATAGACTTTTCTTTTCTAAACTGGCCTGGCCTGCCCCTGCCTAGCTTAATGGTAAACAAGCAGGCAACAGGGAGAGGACAGCTGCACAAAATTTGTGAAATGCTTGTCTGAAGGTAGCCTGAGAAAACAGCTGACATTTGGCGACCCTACAACTGGTTTCCCCGCCAAATGATGTCTGAGAAACGAGTGCAGAAATCCATGCTGATGACGTGTCACTACCCTAGATCTGGGTAGCGCTTCTGATTGGTTGAATCAAATTTCCCATGCGGCACAACCAATCAGAAGTACTACCCAGATCTGGGTAGTAATGCTTCACCCGTACGGAATTTCTGTGCTCATTTCTCAAATGTTATTTGGCGGGGAAACTAGCGGTAGGATCACCAAATGTCGGCTGTTTTCTCAGGCTAGTCTGAAGGAATTTTTAAGATTTTTTGCAATCTTAAACATGTTAAAATTAACTCACCTTATTCTACATAAGAAATGCTTGAAATTTTCCAGTAATGTTATGTTGTAGTTATAAGCTTCAAATTCGACATCAGGATTAATATCTCTACAGAAAATGGTTAAGAAATAAAACAATAAATTATAAAGTAGACCTTTATAACCAGAAGACAAAAGGGAAAAACACAAATCCTGCCTGCAGAAAAGCTACGTTACAGTATCATGAAAGAGGAAAATGAAACAAAAAAAGTAAGGTAGAGACAGCGTCTATCTAACATACCTTAATGTGTTAACAGCAGCCTCTACTTTGCTCATTCCAGATTGATCAGGACGAAAAAATAACCTTAATGTATGATCAATGAAATTAATTAAACCCGTCTTAACTTTCAGCACAGTAATGTGGTACAGGTGTACACATATAGTATTAATAAAGTAGCTTAGTTTTCCATCAGAGTCGTAAGAGGGACTATGATCAAGTAAAAATCAAAAATAATTTTATTGCAGTCAGAGTCATAAGCAGAAGGGAATCATTTCCCCTTGACTGCACTTTTCATGACTCTAGTGCCTGCAATGTAGTGAAAACCAGATCATTGGGGTCAGGAGCAAAAGTGGAAGAATAAAAAAAATTAGAATACTTCTTTCCACAAATTGTGATTGGTCAAGTTCATCTGCTTCTGCTTGCAATTTGTGACTCCATTAAAACTAGTTTTTACTACAATGTAGATCACAGCAGAGCTTCGCACTAGGGGAGCCCCATACCTAAGAAAATGTTTGCACAAGTTTGTTTTTCACTCATATGATTCTCTCCTAAAGTTAAGTGTAGAGTTGTGGATTTCTTTGCAATGGCTTTAAGTCCATTGTCTAAAGTAAATATAAAATGCATAAATGAGAGCGTCACTTTTAGTTCTGGCTAAATATAAATAATTAATATTAGGTGACACAGCTCCACTTGTTTAAAAGGTGGAAAAATCACTATCCAGTAGATATTAGGTAAAAGGGAAGCCAATTTGGTCCGTACAAAATGCAGACTGCAGACTGCTGCAGGCCATTGTTTTCACCACGCAAATGAGAACGTGACAACTATAGTCCTATTGTTTTCTAACACTAAAAACAATAGTATGCAGCCAGCATGCAGTCTGCATTTTGTACTGTCCAACTACATTTTTCCCTTGATAGAGATTATTTTATTCAGCTTTATATTCACCTTTATTCCAGCTTTATTCACCTTTTTACAACTTCAGTTGTAGGGCCAGAGTCATAACAGGAAAATTCATATGCTGGTTTCATTACATTATAATAATGCTCTACATTCCTGATTATGCCCTAAAACTGTCACTAGTGAAAACTAACCAAATATAACTTTTTTACTAACATGCTGATGGTTTAATTGAGTTTTGATTGGACTGCACAAAAATGTACAGTGTACAAACTCTTGCAACTGAAAATGGATTAAGCCTAGCAGTTACCTGTTCATGTTTGCTAGTTCCACTTTGTCATAATCAAAGAGTAACAACTGAAACAACAAAATTATGAAAATTTTGAGAAAAAAGACCATAATTTTTGCACAGTATCTGACCTTGCATTTTCACTCACTATACAGTTTAATACAAAGACTCAACAGATGGAAGTAAATTTCCAGGATTTGAAGCTAATTAATGGGTGGATGCTGTGGATGTTGTCCAGTCACTCCAGAAGACAACATTCACTTTTAGTCAAATATTACATGTAACCGTGTGTAAATGATTAATTTTATCATTCACTTTTAGGTAAAAATACTAACTGAACAAGAAAAATTAAGGAACATGAAGAAAAGACTGACATGGTCTTTAACAGACAAACTATTTTTATGATCATCGTACCAAGAAACTAACACACAAAGCTAGTAAGAAAGTAATGCTTGTACATGTAAATGAACAAAGTTGACAAACTAACATGCAGAAAACCATGAGTAAAATGAGAAATCTAATCTTGTGAAGGCTAAAAAAAAAAAAAAAAAAAAAAATCTTGTGAAGGCTATAGCTGCATCGTACATTTACCCTTTTAAGTTTTAAGTTGCTCTTGTTGGTTTTATGCATTCTGAAGTATTGAAACTGAACCCCATGACTTCAATGTACTGTGCACCAGGGGACGTAGAGGCATGTGGGATCAAGAATGGGATGCCAGGCTGGCACGTCAGTGAGATGTCGCATCATGGTACTCATCCTCCATTTTGCAACTTACATTGCCATGGTAAAAATTCTACCCAGGTTATGATAATATTGTAACAATCACTGGGAATGAAGGAGACTGTTAATTACCTTGCCGATTCCACATCTTGTGAGCATTTCTGCAGTGACACTACCAACTCCACCAATGCCAACGATCACAACAGTGTAATTACGAATACTCTGCACATTCAAGACAAACAAGGGTCATGTATAAAAATCCAGTTTAATGTTCTGATAACGTTATAAAAAGTGGCATTATGACCCTCAACAATATATTTAACCTTGCATGAATGGAATACTGCAAATCAAGTCAAGAACCAAGACTAGAATGATTCTTGTGATTAATATATCCACCCTTGATACTACATACACCATTCCTATGTGAATTGCCAAATCAGAAAAGTACTGAGCTTGCTACTCAAGGCTCAAGTAATTATTATATGATTTCTTGATTTTATTACAGATTTCTAATTTCAAACATTAGTCAGAATTGTTCATCAATAGCAACAAATTAGTTCAAAGTCAGGGCACCAAAATTATTAACCATCGAAAAACTGTCGAAAGTCTACAATTATTTCTGCTTTTTCCCCGATACAAAAGTAAAATATCAAAAATTTTGATTAGCTTATTACATTTACTTTGTGTGTCCCTTGTGTATAAAGAATTGACTTTCAACGGCTGATGCCAATAGAGAATGGCGAGGAAGCCAGTCTAGCTGTTGCGATAATTATGTGAATTTTACCAAAGTTATTTTTAGACCAATTAAACACATGAAATTAATCAGATGTTGGTTTCCAAAGGTCTGCAATCTTTTATTATTTTAGTGTTGTCAAGAGAGAATGGGACATTGTGCTCTCTTTGCGTTGCCATTACAATACAGTCCGTATTCTGCATTGTTTACTTTGAGGCAGTTGCGCCTGGACTTGATGACGCTTCAAACAATCTATTAAAATATGCGGATGTTCCAAGGACAACCTCAACCTTAAGTGAAATTCACATATCCTGGCCAATGCCCAAAGAACCCCCCTCAATTCCATTCTTCTCTCTTGTAGATGTTCAATTCACCCAAAAATTGTGGATTGAGTTGGAAATTGAGACTTAAAGCAAACTGGCAACTGTTGTACAGACTTGCAAAATGTGGCACAAGGGATTGTTGCTTAAAATTAAGGATGACAAGATGCAAACAAAGACTGTTTGTCTTTACACTAGGCTGTTAAGTAAGACTTGAGAGCTGCTAAGTTTTACTTAACCAAAAATGCATGTGTGAAGGCCTCAGTAAAATCTCAAGTAACTTTACTTTGCATCTCATTAAAGTTGCAAAGTTGAAACAATTCAAGAAAGTTTTAAGTAACTTGAAAATCATCCTTGTGAGCAACTTAACTGACTTGTGGTTTCTTGAGCTTTGAAAAAGGTGAAACATGTCAATCAATCTAAATTATGCTGCGTGGAAAAATAGCCTTAAGTTAACCTGAAGTAAAAAAAGAATTGGTTGTGTGTGAAGCTTTATTTTACTTGAAGTAATTAAAATTTACTTGTCTTGAAATATTTTAGCTTTTTTAGGTTCTA